CTAACAACTTGACTAGTTCTTGCCAGCTATGATGACTCTTTGTGACACTACTGACTTATTATTTGTTGTCAAGGAAACGGGCAAGCATCACTTTATGGCTCAAACTGACGTGACAGTGTTCTATCTGGCTACGAGAACACCTGTCTGGGATGTATCTGGCTACGAGAACACCTGTCTGGGATGTATCTGGCTACGAGAACACCTGTCTGGGGATATATCTGGCAACGAAAACACCTGTCTGGGATGTATCTGGCTATGTGAACACCTGTCTGGGATGTATCTGGCTACGAGAACACCTGTCTGGGGATATATCTGGCAACGAAAACACCTGTCTGGGATGTATCTGGCTATGTGAACACCTGTCTGGGATGTATCTGGCTACGAGAACACCTGTCTGGGATGTATCTGGCTACGAGAACACCTGTCTGGGATGTATCTGGCTATGTGAACACCTGTCTGGGATGTATCTGGCTACGAGAACACCTGTCTGGGATGTATCTGGCTATGTGAACACCTGTCTGGGATGTATCTGGCTACGTGAACACCTGTCTGGGATGTATCTGGCTACGTGAACACCTGTCTGGGATGTATCTGGCTACGAGAATACCTGTCTGGGATGTATCTGGCTACGAGAACACCTGTCTGGGATGTATCTGGCTACGTGAACACCTGTCTGGGATGTATCTGGCTATGAGAACACCTGTCTGGAATGTATCTGGCTATGAGAACACCTGTCTGGGATGTATCTGGCTATGAGAACACCTGTCTGGGATGTATCTGGATACGAGAACACCTGTCTGGGATGTAATTAGCTATTAAAGACCCTGCCAATGATGTTTGAAGCTTTCACTCAAAATTTGTTTAGTGAAGGACGGATCATTCTGTCTGTCTGTCTGTCTGTCTGTCTGTCTGTCTGTCTGTCTGTCTGTCTCTCTCTCTCTCTCTCTCTCTCTCTCTCTCTCTCTCTCTCTCTCTCTCTCTCTCTCTCTCTCTCTCTCTCTCTCTCTCTCTCTCTTTCTGATCTGAAAAGACGAAGTTGATAAACTTCTGTCATTTCAGTGATATGAACAGCCTCCAGTGATGAGACACTAGATTTTTCACTGTAACTCACCCTTACTGATAGCGCCATTTATTTGTCTCCCCTTGAGCGCTAGGCAAGGTGGCAGGTGTACTCTCCGCTTGGTAAACCAACTACTCATCTTTTCCTACTAGTATAGCTCGAAGCTCTTCCTTCGTTCGATAATAGCGAAGCTAGGAGCTGTTTTACCTTCACTGTTGGAATAGCTGGCAGCTATTCCCTCTCCCCCCCCCTGGTCTTCTAGCAAGGTGGGAGCCGGCTGCTTCCTCTCTCACGCCCTCAATCTTATTGTCAAGAGCAAGCAAGAATGACCTTTTATTTTTTGTCACTCTTCTGATTTAATACAGTGACGCCCCTCCCTCCCCCCCTGCTTGCTGACTCCCTCCCCCTCTCCATCACTACCCTGAGTCAGCACCCCCCCCTCCTGCTTGCTGACTCCCTCCCCCCTCCATCACTACCCTGAGTCAGCACCCCCCCCCCTCCTGCTTGCTGACTCCCTCCCCCCTCTCCATCACTACCCTGAGTCAGCACCCCCCCCCCCCCCCTCCCTGCTTGGCTGACTCCTGCTTGCTGACTCCCTCCCCCTCCATCACTACCCCTGAGTCAGCACCAGCAACACCCCCCTCTCCTGCTTGCTGACTCCCTCCCCCCTCCATCACTACCCTGAGTCAGCACCAGTGATACCCCCTCCCCTGCTTGCTGACTCCCTCCCCCCTCCATCACTACCCTGAGTCAGCACCCCCCCCCCTCCTGCTTACTGACTCCCCCCCCCTCCATCACTACCCTGAGTCAGTACCAGTGATACCCCCTCCCCTGCTTGCTGACTCCCTCCCCCCTCCATCACCACCCCTGAGTCAGCACCAGCAACACCCCCCTCTCCTGCTTGCTGACTCCCTCCCCCCTCCATCACCACCCCTGAGTCAGCACCAGCAACACCCCCCTCTCCTGCTTGCTGACTCCCTCCCCCCTCCATCACCACCCCTGAGTCAGCACCAGCAACACCCCCCTCTCCTGCTTGCTGACTCCCTCCCCCCTCCATCACCACCCCTGAGTCAGCACCAGCAACACCCCCCTCCCCTGCTTGCTGACTCCCTCCCCCCTCCATCACCACCCCTGAGTCAGCACCAGCAACACCCCCTTCCCCTGCTTGCTGACTCCCACCCCCCTCCATCACCACCCCTGAGTCAGCACCAGCAACACCCCCCTCTCCTGCTTGCTGACTCCCTCCCCCCTCCATCACCACCCCTGAGTCAGCACCAGCAACACCCCCTTCCCCTGCTTGCTGACTCCCTCCCCCCTCCATCACCACCCCTGAGTCAGCACCAGCAACACCCCCTTCCCCTGCTTGCTGACTCCCCCAGCTTGCAAAGCAATCTTTATCAAGCCACAATTACACACCTGCCCCGCTGAAGACCGGAAGGCTCTCAAACACTAGTCACAAAAACCTCCTTACCTCAGGTCTGCCTGCTCTCTCCAACACTGCTCTCAGGTATGCCTGCTTTCTCCAACACTGCCCTAGGGTCTGCCTGCTCTCTCCAACACTGCTCTCAGGTCTGCCTGCTCTCTCCAACACTGCTCTCAGGTGTGCCTGCGCTCTCCAACACTGCCCTCAGGTGTGCCTGCTCTCTCCAACACTGCTCTCAGGTGTGCTTGCTCTCTCCAACACTGCTCTCAGGTGTGCCTGCGCTCTCCAACACTGCCCTCAGGTGTGCCTGCTCTCTCCAACACTGCCCTCAGGTCTGTCTGCTCTCTCCAATGCTGTCCTCAGGTATGCCTGCTCTCTCCAACACTGCTCTCAGGTGTGCCTGCTCTCTCCAACACTGCTCTCAGGTCTGTCTGCTCTCTCCAACAGTGCTCTCAGGTCTACCTGCTCTCTCCAACACTGCCCTCAGGTGTGTCTGCTCTCTCCAACACTGCCCTCAGGTCTGCCTGCTCTCTCCAACACTGCCCTCAGGTGTGTCTGCTCTCTCCAACACTGCCCTCAGGTGTGTCTGCTCTCTCCAACACTGCCCTCAGGTCAGTCTGCTCTCTCCAACACTGCCCTCGGGTCTGTCTGCTCTCTCCAACACTGCTCTCAGGTCTGCCTGCTCTCTCCAACACTGCCCACAGGTGTGTCTGCTCTCTCCAGCACTGCCCTCAGGTCTGTCTGCTCTCTCCAACAGTGCTCTCAGGTGTGTCTGCTCTCTCCAACACTGATTTCAGGTCTGTCTGCTCTCTACAACACTGCCCTCAGGTCTGTCTGCTCTCTCCAACACTGCCCTCAGGTCTGCCTACTATCTCCAACACTGCCTTAAGGTCTGCCTGCTCTCTCCAACACTGCCTTCAGGTCTGCCTGCTCTCTCCAACACTGCCCTCAGGTGTGTCTGCTCTCTCCAGCACTGCCCTCAGGTCTGCCTGCTATCTCCAACACTGCCTTCAGGTCTGCCTGCTCTCTCCAACACTGCCTTTAGGTCTGCCTGCTCTCTCCAACACTGCCTTCAGGTCTGCCTGCTTTCTCTAACACTGCCTTCAGGTCTGCCTGCTCTCTCCAACACTGCCCTCAGGTGTGTCTGCTTTCTCCAACAGTGCTCTCAGGTCTGTCTGCTCTCTCCAACACTGCTCTCAGATGTGTCTGCTCTCTCCAGCACTGCCCTCAGGTCTGTCTTCTCTCTCCAACAGTGCTCTCAGGTTGCCTGCTCTCTCCAACACTGCCCTCAGGTGTGTCTGCTCTCTCCAACACTGCCTTCAGGTCTGCCTGCTCTCTCCAATACTGCCCTCAGGTCGGTCTGCACTCTCCAACACTGCCCTCAGGTCGGTCTGTTCTCTCCAACACTGCCCTCAGGTCTTTCTGCTCTCTCCAACAGTGCTCTCAGGTCTACCTGCTCTCTCCAACACTGCCCTCAGGTCTGCCTGCTCTCTCCATCACTGTCCTCAGGTGTGTCTGCTCTCTCCAACACTGCCCTCAGGTCTGCCTACTATCTCCAACACTGCCTTCAGGTCTGCCTGCTCTCCTCAATACTGCCTTCAGGTCTGCCTGCTCTCTCCAACACTGCCTTCAGGTCTGCCTGCTCTCTCCAATACTGCCCTCAGGTCTGCCTGCTCTCTCCAACACTGCCTTCAGGTCTGCCTGCTCTCTCCAACACTGCCTTCAGGTCTGCCTGCTCTCTCCAACACTGCCCTCAGGTGTGTCTGCTCTCTCCAACACTGCCCTCAGGTCTGCCTGCTATCTCCAACACTGCCTTCAGGTCTGCCTGCTCTCTCCAACACTGCCTTCAGGTCTGCCTGCTCTCTCCAACACTGCCCTCAGGTGTGTCTGCTCTCTACAACACTGCCCTCAGGTATGCCTGCTCTCTCAGCACTGCCCTGAGGTCTGTCTGCTCTCTTCAACACTGTCCTCAGGTCTGCCTGCTCTCTCCAACACTGCCTTCAGGTCTGTCTGCTCTCTCCAACACTGCCCTCAGGTCTGCCTGCTCTCTCCAACACTGCCCTCAGGTCTGTCTGCTCTCTTCAACACTGCTCTCAGGTCTGTCTGCTCTCTCCAACACCCCCCTCAGGTCTGCCTGCTCTCTCCAACACCCCCCTCAGGTCTGCCTGCTCTCTCCAACACCCCCCTCAGGTCTGCCTGCTCTCTCCAACACTGCCCTTAGGTCTGTCTGCTCTCTCCAACACTGCCCTTAGGTCTGCCTGCTCTCTCCAACACTGCCCTCAGGTCTTCTCACTTAACTTGTTCAAGCCATCTAACACTCTGTTTACAAAAGAAAACTTTCTAATATTCCTTTCGGCACCTTTGTTTCCTTATCTTCAATCTGTGTCCTCTTGTTCGTTAAGTTGCTGGTTTCTGCAATCCCTCTTTGTCCATTTGGTCGATTCCTGTTAGTATTTTGTAAGTGGTGATCATATCTCCTCTTTTTTCTATATTTTAGATTTGGCATATTTAACGCCATTAGTCTCTCCTCGTAACTCTCTTTTTCAGTTCCGAAAGCCATTTCGTAGCATGCCGTTGCATAGCACCAGGCATAGCATCATCTACCTCATCTTCTGTAGCACCAGGCATAGTATCATCTACCTCATCTTCTGCAGCACCAGGCAAAGCAATATCTACCTCATCTTCTGTAGCACCAGGCATAGCAACATCTACCTCATCTTCTGCAGCACCAGGCATAGCATCATCTACCTCATCTTCTGCAGCACCAGGCATAGCATCATCTACCTCATCTTCTGCAGCACCAGGCATGGCATCATCTACCTCATCTTCTGCAGCATCAGGCATAGCAACATCTACCTCATCTTCTGTAGCACCAGGTATAGCAACATCTACCTCATCTTCTGCAGCACCAGGCATGGCATCATCTACCTCATCTTCTGCAGCACCAGGCATAGCAACATCTACCTCATCTTCTGCAGCACCAGGTATAGCAACATCTACCTCATCTTCTGCAGCACCAGGTATAGGTACATCTACCTCATCTTCTGCAGCACCAGGTATAGCAACATCTACCTCATCTTCTGCAGCACCAGGCATAGCAACATCTACCTCATCTTCTGCAGCACCAGGCATAGCAACATCTACCTCATCTTCTGCAGCACCAGGTATAGCAACATCTACCTCATCTTCTGCAGCACCAGGTATAGCAACATCTACCTCATCTTCTGCAGCACCAGGCATAGCAACATCTACCTCATCTTCTGCAGCACCAGGTATAGCAACATCTACCTCATCTTCTGCAGCATCAGGCATAGCAACATCTACCTCATCTTCTGCAGCACCAGGCATAGCAACATCTACCTCATCTTCTGCAGCATCAGGCATAGCAACATCTACCTCATCTTCTGCAGCACCAGGCATAGCAACATCTACCTCATCTTCTGCAGCACCAGGCATAGTATCATCTACCTCATCTTCTGCAGCACCAGGCATGGCAACATCTACCTCATCTTCTGCAGCACCAGGCATGGCAACATCTACCTCATCTTCTGCAGCACCAGGCATGGCAACATCTACCTCATCTTCTGCAGCACCAGGCATGGCAACATCTACCTCATCTTCTGCAGCACCAGGCATAGCAACATCTACCTCATCTTCTGCAGCACCAGGCATAGCATCATCTACCTCATCTTCTGTAGCACCAGGCATAGTATCATCTACCTCATCTTCTGCAGCACCAGGCATAGCAACATCTACCTCATCTTCTGCAGCACCAGGCATAGCATCATCTACCTCATCTTCTGTAGCACCAGGCATAGTATCATCTACCTCATCTTCTGCAGCACCAGGCATAGCAACATCTACCTTGTACCGTCTGTTACATACACCATGTGAGAAACATACATGAAAATAAAATCTGATACAACAATACTAATACAATACATACAGCCTGGTGATGCAGGGGAGGATGTCATGGTGGTGATGCAGGGGAGGATGTCATGGTGGTGATCCAGGGAAGGATGTCATGGTGGTGATCCAGGGAAGGATGTCATGGTGGTGATGCAGGGAAGGATGTCATGGTGGTGTTCTAGGGAAGGATGTCATGGTGGTGATGCAGGGAAGGATGTCATGGTGGTGATGCAGGGAAGGATGTCATGGTGGTGTTCCAGGGGAGGATGTCATGGTGGTGATCCAGGGGAGGATGTCATGGTGGTGATCCAGGGAAGGATGTCATGGTGGTGTTCCAGGGAAGGATGTCATGGTGGTGATCCAGGGAAGGATGTCATGGTGGTGATGCAGGGAAGGATGTCATGGTGGTGTTCTAGGGAAGGATGTCATGGTGGTGATGCAGGGAAGGATGTCATGGTGGTGATGCAGGGGAGGATGTCATGGTGGTGATCCAGGGGAGGATGTCATGGTGGTGTTCTAGGGAAGGATGTCATGGTGGTGATGCAGGGAAGGATGTCATGGTGGTGTTCCAGGGAAGGATGTCATGGTGGTGATGTAGGGGAGGATGTCATGGTGGTGATCCAGGGGAGGATGTCATGGTGGTGATCCAGGGGAGGATGTCATGGTGGTGATCCAGGGAAGGATGTCATGGTGGTGTTCCAGGGGAGGATGTCATGGTGGTGATGCAGGGGAGGATGTCATGGTGGTGATCCAGGGGAGGATGTCATGGTGGTGATCCAGGGGAGGATGTCATGGTGGTGATGCAGGGGAGGATGTCATGGTGGTGATGCAGGGGAGGATGTCATGGTGGTGTTCCAGGGAAGGATGTCATGGTGGTGATCCAGGGAAGGATGTCATGGTGGTGATGCAGGGAAGGATGTCATGGTGGTGATGCAGGGGGAGGATGTCATGGTGGTGATGCAGGGGAGGATGTCATGGTGGTGTTCCAGGGAAGGATGTCATGGTGGTGATCCAGGGAAGGATGTCATGGTGGTGATCCAGGGGAGGATGTCATGGTGGTGATGCAGGGAAGGATGTCATGGTGGTGATGCAGGGGAGGATGTCATGGTGGTGATCCAGGGGAGGATGTCATGGTGGTGTTCTAGGGAAGGATGTCATGGTGGTGATGCAGGGAAGGATGTCATGGTGGTGTTCCAGGGAAGGATGTCATGGTGGTGATGCAGGGGAGGATGTCATGGTGGTGATCCAGGGAAGGATGTCATGGTGGTGATCCAGGGGAGGATGTCATGGTGGTGATGCAGGGGAGGATGTCATGGTGGTGATCCAGGGGAGGATGTCATGGTGGTGATCCAGGGGAGGATGTCATGGTGGTGATCCAGGGGAGGATGTCATGGTGGTGATCCAGGGGAGGATGTCATGGTGGTGATCCAGGGGAGGATGTCATGGTGGTGATGCAGGGGAGGATGTCATGGTGGTGATGCAGGGGAGGATGTCATGGTGGTGATCCAGGGGAGGATGTCATGGTGGTGATCCAGGGGAGGATGTCATGGTGGTGATGCAGGGGAGGATGTCATGGTGGTGATCCAGGGGAGGATGTCATGGTGGTGATCCAGGGGAGGATGTCATGGTGGTGATCCAGGGAAGGATGTCATGGTGGTGTTCCAGGGAAGGATGTCATGGTGGTGATCCAGGGAAGGATGTCATGGTGGTGTTCTAGGGAAGGATGTCATGGTGGTGATGCAGGGGAGGATGTCATGGTGGTGATGCAGGGAAGGATGTCATGGTGGTGATGCAGGGGAGGATGTCATGGTGGTGATCCAGGGAAGGATGTCATGGTGGTGTTGCAGGGAAGGATGTCATGGTGGTGATGCAGGGGAGGATGTCATGGTGGTGATGCAGGGGAGGATGACATAGTGAAGGTGTGGTAATTTTACGCTCTCCCGTACCACAGCGGCTTCGGGAAAGTTGTAAAAAAAGGTGAATTAAGGTCTGCGATGGTTGTCCACATCCTGGGCTGGGGGCCGTGACGGATCCACGTGTGTCATTCCTTCCGCCTGGAGAATGTCCAAGTGGACAGCCTGATTAACCTCGGGTGCAAGGACTTGGTCACCTGGCGTTAGCCTTAACCACAAGGTGTTAACTTTGATCACCAACACTCACGATATGCTGCCACACTGCCGTGTTTGTCTGTGGCGACCCTCACGATCCCGTGAACTCCTTGAACATAAAATATAATAACTGACTTCTTTTAGTTAACAACCAATTGATTCACATCCTTGGAGGACAGAATGGAAAATTGATCTAGGGAACACTGAAGATTCTTGTTAATTGCAGAAAAATATTGTCTTTAAATACATTTGTATGTAGTGCTTTGTTTATTAAAGTACGACTTAGTTACACAAGTACAGAATATTACACAACATTGACTTGGTGAATTAATATACATAAAACACATGACAATTTAAGACCAGGTCAAGCTAGAAGCAGGACGCTCATTAACAAGCAACGGAGATCATAGGAGAAACTTCTCCAACAGGCAAGAGTGTCCACGATTAAAGTGGAGCCTCACCCACCACCACCACCACCAGCAACACCAGGGCAGGAGCCTCCACCACCACCACCACCACCAGCAACACCAGGGCAGGAGCCTCATCCATCACCAGCAACACCAGCACCAGGGCAGGAGCCTCACCCACCACCACCACCACCACTAGGGCAGGAGCCTCACCCACCACCACCACCACCAGCAACACCAGGGCAGGAGCCTCACCCACCACCACCACCACCACCAACACCAGAGCAGAAGCCTCACCCACCACCACCACCACCAGCAACACCAGAGCAAGAGCCTCACCCACCACCACCAGCAACACCAGAGCAGGAGCCTCACCCACCACCACCACCACCAGCAACACCAGAGCAGGAGCCTTACCAACCACCACCACCACCAGCAACACCAGTGCAGGAGCCTCACCCACCACCACCACCACCAGCAACACCAGGGCAGGAGCCTCACCCACCACCACCACCAACACCAGAGCAGGAGCCTCACCCACCACCACCACCACCAGCAACACCAGAGCAGGAGCCTCACCCACCACCACCACCACCAGCAACACCGGAGCAGGAGCCTCACCAACCACCACCACCACCAGCAACACCAGGGCAGGAGCCTCACCCACCACCACCACCAACACCAGAGCAGGAGCCTCACCCACCACCACCACCACCACCAACACCAGGACAGGAGCCTCACCCACCACCACCACCAGCAACACCAGGGCAGGAGCCTCCACCACCACCACCACCACCAGCAACACCAGGGCAGGAGCCTCATCCATCACCAGCAACACCAGCAACACGCCAGGAGCCTCACCCACCACCACCACCACCACTAGGGCAGGAGCCTCACCCACCACCACCACCACCAGCAACACCAGGGCAGGAGCCTCACCCACCACCACCACCACCAGCAACACCAGAGCAGAAGCCTCACCCACCACCACCACCACCAGCAACACCAGAGCAAGAGCCTCACCCACCACCACCAGCAACACCAGAGCAGGAGCCTCACCCACCACCACCACCACCAGCAACACCAGAGCAGGAGCCTTACCAACCACCACCACCACCAGCAACACCAGAGCAGGAGCCTCACCCACCACCACCACCACCAGCAACACCAGGGCAGGAGCCTCACCCACCACCACCACCAACACCAGAGCAGGAGCCTCACCCACCACCACCACCACCAGCAACACCAGAGCAGGAGCCTCACCCACCACCACCACCACCAGCAACACCGGAGCAGGAGCCTCACCAACCACCACCACCACCAGCAACACCAGGGCAGGAGCCTCACCCACCACCACCAGCAACACCAGAGCAGGAGCCTCACCCACCACCACCACCACCACCAACACCAGGACAGGAGCCTCACCCACCACCACCACCAGCAACACCAGGGCAGGAGCCTCACCCAACACCACCACCACCAGCAACACCAGAGCAGGAGCCTCACCCACCACCACCACCACCAGCAACACCAGGGCAGGAGCCTCACTCACCACCACCACCACCAGCAACACCAGGGCAGGAGCCTCACCCACCACCACCACCACCAACACTAGGGCAGGAGCCTCACCCACCACCACCACCACCACCACCAGCAGCAGCACCAGGGCAGGAGCGTCACCCACCACCACCAGCAACACCAGAGCAGGAGCCTCACCCACCACCACCACCACCACCACCACCAGCAGCAGCACCAGAGCAGGAGCCTCACCCACCACCACCAGCAACACCAGGACAGGAGCCTCACCCACCACCACCACCAGCATCACCAGGACAGGAGCCTCACCCACCACCACCACCACCAGCATCACCAGGACAGGAGCCTCACCCACCACCACCACCAGCATCACCAGGACAGGAGCCTCACCCACCACCACCAGCAACACCAGGGCAGGAGCCTCGCCCACCACCACCACCACCAGCAACACCAGGGCAGGAGCCTCACCCACCACCACCAGCAACACCAGGGCAGGAGCCTCACCCACCACCACCACCACCAGCAACACCAGGGCAGGAGCCTCACCCACCACCACCAGCAACACCAGGGCAGGAGCCTCACCCACCACCACCACCACCAGCAACACCAGGGCAGGAGCCTCACCCACCACCACCAGCAGCACCAGGGCACGAGCCTCACCCACCACCACCACCACCAGCAACACCAGGGCAGGAGCCTCACCCACCACCACCACCACCAGCAACACCAGAGCAAGAGCCTCACCCACCACCACCAGCAACACCAGGGCAGGAGCCTCACCCACCACCGCCAGCAACACTAGAGCAGGAGCCTCACCCACCACCACCACCACCAGCAACACCAGAGCAGGAGCCACACCCACCACCACCAGCAACACCAGAGCAAGAGCCTC